TCTTGAACTGCATTAATACTATTACTAAAGCAGGTATTATTTGTAGCTCCAAAACCTTGTAAAAGCATTAACAAACTTATGGAATACTCTGGATACTACTATGGAGGAGCGTCAACCATATGGGCAAATTAAGGTACTCGCAATGACTTCAGTAAATGGTATGTTAGGTCCTGGAAGCCTCACACTTGAGACAATTCAACAGGTAAAGACCAGAGATTAAACTTCAAAGCAGATATGAATTATGTCAGACAAGTAACTGTCTTGATGCTGATAGGTTATTAGTTTTACCATATTGAATGAAACAGGTTGAATCTGAAGTTCAGCGTCTGAATCAGTTGAAGGCAAGCAAAATGAAAGAGCTATTCCTAAAAAAGAGAGCAGAAGTCGACGAAATTTGCAAGAAATCACACATGGACATGCCTTATCAAACAGAAATGGACAAAATAATGAATCTGATAATGTCAGGTGCGTTCGGCACAGTTATATGCCATTATCTTTGTTTCAGTGCTGAAGTATATTTACCAGTCTCCAATGCGTTGACTAATATAACTATTTGGGGAATAAATGAACAGGAGATGTGGTCCATGATGATCTATTAAAGACAATGGATGAATATATATGCAAAGCAAAAGAGGAGGCCACAAGCCGGAAAGACATAATGGATAAGGTTGAAAAATGGATGGCTTCATGTGATGAAGAGCGATGGCTAGAAGAATATAGCAGGGTGCACTAGCTGCCTGATGACCATAGTCATAGACATTGCCTTATCTAGAAGTATATTTTTTACTAAGTTGATTATAATTTTCTACAGGATGAACGAAGGTACTCAATAAGCAGAGGAGCACACAAGCACTTGAAAAGGGCAGAGCGTGCTCGAATTATAGTTAACAAAATTCCAGGTATGCATCATATCTACAGAGTAAAATGGAAACTGAAATGCCACATATATTTACTAGAAAAATTGTGCAGGCTTGGTAGAACAGTTAATGGCCAAGACACAATTCTGGGAACAGGAGAGAAACAAGATCTTCTACTATGATGAGGTGCGACCTCATAAACTGCAAACATAATCACCTGATCTGAAATCATCCTTTCAAAATTTGGATTTTAACTTGTCATAAATATTTATCCTAGACTGACCTAGACCGCCCATGTTTTCTTTTAAAAAACTGTAAATAGTAAGTTCTTTTATGGCTTCCGCCCATCTTTGAACTATTATAAACATGATTTTACATTGCTCTACAAAGAATTAAACTTTCATACTTCAGCGATGCCAAAATACTGAACAAATGTAACAATTTTGGTATTGTAGTGGCACATAGAAGCATTTTAAATTCGCGCCTTTATAATTTATGGATAGAGAGGCTAGGTATTTTTGGAAGGGCAGTCACTGGATAAGGTGGCAGCAAGTAAACGTTAGCTTCATCAATTCAACCTTCTCCTGTAAAGCAACCTTGTGAATATGCTTATTTGCAACAGCAAACTGAATAACAGAATAAATTATGTATGCAACATTAAATAGAGGTAATCAAGTAAAAACAAAAACTAAAGAGAGTAGAAAGTACAATAAAGATAAGCCACTAAAAACCTGAAGGGAAGCTGCATGGTCATTTCAGCATTTTTCCAAGGCCATCATCTGAGGGTATTAAGTACAATAACGAATGCTCCCTCCATTCCAAATTATAGTTCACTATAGCTTTGTCCTAAATCAAATCTCTCTAACTTGGATAATTTTTAGACAAATACATTAACATCTACAAGTTTAAATAAATGCACTATCAAGGCATATTTCATGGAGAATTTAATGAAATTAATTTGATGTTGTAGATGTTGGGTGCATTTTTCTATAAACTTGATGAAAGTTAGAGATTTCACTTAGGACAAAGCTAGTTTGGAACAGAGGTATTAGAATAGTTGGTCTTGAAAGCAAAAGTGACAGTGAAGAGAACATACTTGGGGCTGGTGCTAAGAAGTATATTTTGCAGACAGCAAGGCATGGAAGAAATGGTATCATGTTCAAACCGGCAAAACTATATATTCCATTCCTGTACATAGAAAAACAAGCAAGAGGCAGCTTACTAGGACAAACCTATTCCTTAGCATTAAAACGTGGCGGTGTAAAACAATGTTTTCAAGTCGTCCGATTAATCGCGATTAATCACGATTAATCGTCCTAATCAGTCCCTGCTGACTGATTAGGGGTACCGTCGACTTGTACAAGTCGTCCGATTAATCGCGATTAATCGTCCTAGTCGGTCCCATGGCGACTAGGTTCGACTGAACGACTTGAAAACATTGGTGTAAAAAAAGAATCATAAATTATTGGAGGACAATGCATGAGGGATACATATTGCCACTGCAAAGTCAAAATCGATAAGAGTATAAGACTACACTCAACTATCAAAAGTCAAGCAATACCAGGGCGAGAACCTAAGCAAGTATCTATACAAGAAACAATTAACAAAATGATTGTGATTCTCAAAGGAAAAATGCAAAATACTACACTACCAAACAGATCTTATGTTACCATAAACCAATAATTAATTTTAAAAAATAGTATTCTATAAATAGACATACAGACACCACAAAGAGTACTGGTAAATAAATTAACATATGCAGTAATTCATAAGTAAACATTGCACAAACGACCTAACAAAAAAATATTGAGGTCTGTATTTGCATGGTTAACTCTTTAGTCTTTACCTGTAAAAACAACCTTCACAGCAAATTTCTTGTATTGGAACCATAATTTGGAACATTTCGTTAAAAAAAATCAAATAGACATGAAAGTCAGCTAGATTGATTATCAAGTACTGATTCCAAATGATAGAAAGTCTTAATTTCTTGAACAAAACTACTAACATAAGCTTTTGCAGCTCCCGCTTCTGGCAATGCTGAAAGACTACATGTTCACACTCAAAGAAAAAGAAGAGGAGAAATACAGGCAACGGGTGAGTAGTTATTAGTCAACTGGTTGATGGTACAGGGAATCACATAATCTGGCTCATACAGGGGTGCTCAAATAAGGGGGTTGCTCTAGGAATTTAGTTCAAAGTTGAACTAAATCCTAAGGATTTGGATTCCAACCCTCCTTATCCAAACGGTATCTAAGAATAGAAACCTACTATCAGTCTGGATGACATTGATTTCATAAACATTTGTTTACAGGAGAATAAAAAGATACAGACTCTACTTGTAAAGAGGCATGAGAATTCAATAATGTTAAGGCCCAACACAAGCTTCAGTCGTCCATCAACCAGGGGGTTCAATACGAGTCCTGGCTCCACATCCATCTGGACCAGCCAAGTTTCTGCCAAAGTGCAACTGCCTGACTCAGAGAACTCCCCAGCTGAAAAAGATATGCGTGCAAAAAGAATTAGGAACAGAGGTATGCAGGGCGTGTTGGGAAATAACAGAAGCTGTTCAATCTCTCATGAAGATAAAGCAGAAGTCTCCACAGTGAAGCAAGGCCTTTCACCAATTTAATTTTATTTTTCCACTTTAAATTTCTACGGAAATTTGTCTGCCTAACGTGAAGTTGCAACAACCCCCTTAAGCTATTAGAAAAGTGGAGAAGTATGTTTGTATGCAGCTTATACCATATTCATATATTTATTGATGTATGATTCAGTAAAATATGTTATTTTAGCTGTTTTGGACTTTCGGTGCCGAAGTACTAACAGAGATCATCAAATGAAAAGCACAAAAAGGAAAGGTGACTTACCATGTTAGCGGAACAATTCTACGATGTCTGGCAGCATATCAATCATTTCCTCGCAGAGGGTGTGAAAGACGCCAATTAAGATGTGTACGCCCACTTCTATTATGATATAAAACCTGCCAGGCCAATAGTCAATGAGAGAACCAGCTAAACATAAAAACAAAGCAAACACTCATGGTTCTGCCCAGACATAAATGGAAATAATTTATCATACATCAGTCACAGTCCTTCCCTCTTCAGGGGCCACATTAGTCAGTTATGCACATCAAGGCGAGAACTCATACATATGTATAATGAATATGAATATGCCAATAGAATCTTCAAACCATGCCTAATTCACATAACCACTAACCAAGCTATTTTACATTTTTACAATTTTTAATTTGGAATTTCTAGCTTTTCTAGATTCATAGCTTCCTCCATCCCAAATTATAAGACATTTTGGCATTTCTAGATTCATAGCTTTTACTATGTATCAAGACATAACATATATCTAGGTGCGTAGCAAAAGCTATGAACCCAGAAAAGCCAAAACGTCTTATAACTTGGAACAGAGGGAGTACTATTCAGTAAACCACATCATCCTCACTAATTGTGTTTTGCTAGGCAATTTTGGTATAATTTACTGGGCTCTCCTGGACTTGAGCGCATTGTACCTAGAAGGAACAAGAGCTTCACTGATTGGTGGAGAAAAGCAAACAAAAAGATTTGAACAGTATGGTGATCCTGGAAGCATGGGCCTTGTGGCTTCACAGGAAAAGAGGAGTTTTTGACAGTGCGACTCCTTCCCTAGCAACAGCACAACATTCCTTCAAAGAGGAATTGAGTCTTGCTGCTTCGCCAGTGCTCACTGCTCAAAAACTTCAGGAGCTATTATTTGGTCCTGGAGAGATGCTAGTGTAAGTGGCTAGAAAGGTCGGGTCATTTCTTCCTTGTAACAAGGGTTTGAGTGCCGTGTGGTGTTTTTTTTTCCTTGCAACCTTCTCTTGTCTCACAGGTGAGGCATAGGGGTTGCCTTCTATGGGTTTCTATCCCCTTTCTTTCTCTCTACAATATAAAGATATGCAGCTCTCCTGCGTGTTTGAGAAAAAAAGGTTAACCACATCAATAATAAGATGTATTGCATTTCTACTGATTTCAGTTGTTGTAGACCAACAAAACAATCCAAACAATACCTCTTCCAGTATGACATACGCAACATAAGAAACTAAAAGGCCAAATAAGCAACTCACAACTTTCTGATCACTTCCTCCTGTGCAGAGGTATTCGTCATTAGGGGCTACAGCAACCTGGGATTTATACCATGAAAAATCAATAGCAAAAGAGGTAAGTTGAAGAGCCCCCGAAGTAGAATATCAAAATATAGGCTCACCGCATTAGCACATCGAGTATGAGCGACGATATGTCTGACACAAGGTTGACCTAGAGTAACATCCCACATTCCAACACTAAAAGCAGAGTAAATTAGTAGTTAAGCATTTTCATAACTTAAATGCAGATTGATGAAAATGACACAAAGTGTATGTCATTGGGCTAATTACTCACCTGCCATCACCACTTACAGTGACAAGTACAGGTTCGTTATGCAGCCACTGTGTGGCATTTACCCCCTGATCACCCTCATCAACATGACTGAACATACAACAGAGAAGATACTCAAAGCCTATACAAAGGTGGATAACAAAACAAAAGGATGCTGAATTGGAAGACAATGAACAGAGTACTATTTAGATTTTATAGCCACAATCTGCAAACCATATGGTAGGAAACAATGAAGACAGGACATGTCCATAGTATTAGCAGGGGTTATCAAGTGGTCAAACAACACCACATTTAGTCTCAACCAGAGGGTATTAGCAGGGGTTACCGGTAACCTAGTGGACAAACAACAACAAAGACTTGTAGTCCCGAGCAGGTGGAGTAGGCTAGAGATGAAACCCAACAAAAGACACCAAGAAAAAAGGTATAAAACTGAAACTAGCAATCAATGTTTTCTGATCGGCTTATCGTTCCTAATCGGTCTGGTACCGATTAGGACGATCAGGACGATTAATCGACCTCTGATCGGTCTAATCGTCCATATAATCATCTAGCATATAGCAGGACTATATAAGTATATATCATATATGTATGGTATATATATAATATACCATATACTATATATTTATATAGTAGACATCGAGCATATTTCTGGAGGCAGTGCTGCTATAGCCTTTTCTACAAGGGCTGAAACATCTGGAGCTGCTGAGGATGCTGAACCAGCACCACCTGATGCAACTGATGAGCTTGCACCAGCACCTCCTTCAGGATTAGGCCCAGGCATGATGACTTCCACTGCAAGCTGCCGCCTTCGATTTTCATCTACGCAAGTTCAGCAAAGAGCCAAAGAAACAAAGCATCAAGATTTGAGCATAGTGCAGAGGAAAGGAGATGACAGAAATGACAGAACAAAGCCGATTTAATGACACCTTCAGAGGAGGAGCTCATCTTCGTGCTCCTTGGACCTGCAGCCTGCAGGTGGGGAAGAGAATAGGGGACCCTGCAGCAGAAGGGAGGAGGAAGCAGCAAGCAGCAGGGAAGATCCACGGATGGGCTGCTTGGATTGGAACTGGAAGGGAGGGAGGAGGGAGTGAGATGCACGCAGCAGGGAAGAGATGGAGCTCAGCTGCACACACAGCGGGAGTGAGGAGTACTGAGGACTGAGGAGAGAAAGAGTCGGGGTGTGGTATATAAGAGAAACCCTAATGGGCCTGGCCCAAATAAATATAGCCCAGTAAACTGAAGTAGCCCATCTGCCTATTTAGTGTTGATCGGCAAAGAGACCTAATTGGACGATTAATCGCGAGTAATCGACGATTAATCGGACGATCAGGTTTCTGATCGCTCTGATCGAATCGGAGGGCCTAATCAAGCGCTAAGTACCAATAAGGACGATTAATCGCGATTAATCGCGATTAATCGGACGATCAGAAAACATTGCTAGCAATAGTCATCATAGTAAAAGGGGATACGCGCACCAGACCATTCTAAGCTTTGCCTAGTATTTTTTTTTTCAAAATATTTAGATTTGACATGAGAAAACAATAATATCTTTTGCCTCAAAAAATACTTTTTGTAGTACAAGTTTATAACACCACATCATAAATGAGCAATGTTTTGGAGTTTGGACATTGGCACGTTCTTCAGAGCACAAATTTTGCACTTTTGGTTAAATATTTATAGAACACAGCAAAAGTAAATAAGTATAGAACATGTGTCCTAAGTTCACTTTACCATTTGTCCTAGGTCAAACTTATCTAACTTTGACCAAGCTTATAGAAAAAATGCATCAACATCTACGATATCAAATTAGTTCATTAAATTCTCAATGAAATATGTTTTGATAGTGCATCAATTTGAACTGGTAGATGTTAGTTTATTTTCTAAAAACTTGGTCAAAATTAGAGAAGTTTGACTTGGGACAAAGCTAAATCTATGCATGGTCTCCAAAATACAACTTTGACTAGCAATATCTATAAAAAAAACATACCATCTTAAATTAAAATTAAAATAGTTATACAATATGAAAGTATGTTTCATAATGAATCTAGTAATGCTAATCTTATGTTTCATAATGAATCTAATAACACTAATCTTATGTTTTCAACCTATACATTTATATATTCATAGGCAAATGGTAAAAAAAATTACTTAGGACAAACCTAGATGGACTTATATTTCAAAAAGGGCGTACCCAGTGCAAAGAGCTCCCGCTCTGTGCGGGGTCTGGGGAAGGGTGTCAGTGGCAAGCCTTATCCTCGCCTGTGCAATGCGAGGAGACCAGGACTCGAACCTGGGACCTTCCGGTCACAGGCGGTAAGGCTCTACCGCTTGCTTCTACACAGATGGACTTATATTTCAGATCAGAGGAAATAGATTTTATAAAAGTATTACATAAAGTACAAACTTTGAGCACATATGGAACATCTAACAGAATGGAATCATCATGAGCATACCAATGACCAGCCAGAATGATGTATTAAATGTTTCCTCTATTTTTTTATATAATTTTGCAACTTCAGGAGTAACATAGCATGAATATAGATCTTCGTAAATGGAGAAGTTTAAATAAACGAGTAAAGCTTTTACTGTAGTTATCTTTTCTACTTTTCTTTCTTTTTTTGAGGGCAAGACAGTAGGGAAAGGCCCTAGGTAAAAAAAAACAAAAGAAAGGAAAATACAACAGAAACGTCTACAAAAGCAGACAGAACTTCACAACAGGCTATTCAGCAAAAAAAGAGGCTATTGCTAAGAGAGAACTTAAATCTGTGTAGAAGCAACTTTACAGCATGTACAAGTTTTCTACTTTTCTTGTGAAGCTACCTAAATAAAACAGACAAACAGTCTACATCAGATTACTAGAAACAGCACATCATGAATCCAGTGAAAAACTAAATTGCAATTCATAGTATAGATGACTTGGGCAGGCCTGGTGCAGTGGTGAGAGCTATCTCACTGAGCCACCAGGTCGTGGGTTCGAAGCAGCCTCTCCGCAGATTTTGCGGGGGAAAGGCTTGCCTCGGTTTTTCCCTTCCCCAGACCCCACTCATGTGGGAGCCTCCGGCGCTGGGTCTGCCCCCTTATAGTATAGATGACTTCCACTAGGTTCACAATTGAAGCTCATAAATTGTCACCAACTTTTCAGGCATAACTAATCACTAGATGCAATAATGATTAGTGCTGCATTTTACATACCCTGGCAGTTGACTTGTGTATTCTGCAGTAGGCATCTGACTACCATGGCTAAAGCAATGTAAAGGCCGAAAAAATCGCATATCTCTGCTTCGTGAAACATCCTTGCTTTGATTTATTGGGACAAGCCTTGTGTCCCAAACCAAAGTATTATTTGATGTGCTAGAAGCAGAAAAATAGGTGCCACAGTTGCTAAATGAAACAGATGTAACCTGTTGAGAAGCAACATATTTATTATCAGTTCTCAGAGAAGAAATATGTTAGTAACTAAGAGATCAATAAGAAAGATTTCAGTCTCACAAAAGCAATGAAATAATTTCCACATTATCAATCAAAACTATACAGCCCTTAATTCCAACTTCTATGCAACAATACCTCACAACCAGATCCCACTGACAAGTGGCTAACTGCAGAACAAGTACGGATGTCAAATAAGCCAATTGTCCCATCACCAGAACCTGCATATTGAAAGTAAAGACAAAAATACAGTTCATCATGGCTGCAATAGGGGAGATCCCATGTGACAGAAAGGATAAATAACCTGTAATGAGAGTGTTGCCAGCAGGGTTGACTTTAAGGGAAGTAATGTACTGTGACAGAGATATGTTAGTCCTCCATTAACCTCTAAAAGTCATACGTACATAGAAACAAAAGGAGAAGGTACATACAGAGTCACTTGCAGAGAAAGATAAATAAGACTCTGGAGAATCAATATCCCATAATTGTACCACAGCTGAGCCATAGTCACAATCGCTTCCACATGCCAGATGATTCTCACTATAGAACTCCATTGTATCAACTGAGGGATAGATCATATCCTGGGACCTACATTAACAAAGATTTACAGGGTTCGAGTCTGGTTTAACAGTTTAAGCATATTAGGATTTTGCACTTTAATCATTTCCATTTTTCCTCTCTAGAAGCTCAGGCCACATAAAGCACTTTAGTCCTCAGCTTAGGAAATTTTCCTCTGCAAAATGCACCCATATAGTTTCTACTTTCTATATAACTGTATCAACATTTTTTTTTATCTTTTTTCCTCAAAAACACAGGAGAGGTGTGTATCTTTGTGTTAAAGAGAGAATAAGGAAACTGTCCCTCACAAAGCAACCACTCTATCTCAATTAGGGGATGAGAGGGTTGCAGGAAAAGAAAACGAAATGGTAACAAGCATCAACATTCTTTTTAATAAAATGCACAGTGGGGGCCCACCCCTACTGTATTTCCCCTCAAAAACAGGCATCAACATTCAAAATGGAGTCAAAAGCATCGTGGATCTCAACTTTTCCTGCGCTCTCATCTGGGTCCATGAACTCTCAAAGCGACCATCTGGGTCCTTTTAACTTTTCAAATGGTTCATTCGAAGGGAGAATAACTAAATACTGTTGTAAACATTAACAATTTATATTCAACAAATTTTAAAAAGAAAAGGTTAACACAATAATATATGATACAAAACTTGTGAACTAGGGCAGAACAAGTATTTATAAGGAGGAAAAAAAAAGAAAACAAAACGGGATGGACAAGAACAAATTCACGTGTTACCTCAAGTTCGAATTTAGATCAGAAGCAAGTTCACCTCTTAAAGCATTCCATAGTAGAAGCTTCCCGTCACCTTTTGCTCCACTAGTGACAACAAGACCTGTAAATGTACACCATGTTGAGATCAAAATAATAAAGAAAGATGGAATAAAAATAGAGATAATTATGATTCATTTAAGAGAAGAAACATAAGGCAAACGAACAAACCAGTAGAGTTAACACAACACAGAAAGTTATCACCATTATCTGCAGTTAATATATCCTTATCTTCCATAGATGTTTGCATCACCCAACAAAATCACTATTCTCGTGAGACATCAGAACAAAAAATTGAACAGAACAATATGGTAGTACATAGGAGTATAGGACATAGGAGTCAATCAGCATAAAAACAGAAACGAACATAAGGTTGCTGTATTTTCTTTCCCATGGAAAATCTGCCAGCTCAGCATCAATTGTCTAAGAAAACTACCAACATACAAGAAAAAAAAGGAGAAAGCTATGAACTAAACAAAATGTAAATAAGACATACAAGATGTAGGAGTTTGTGGGATAAAGAGATAGGGTTGATGAAAAGCACACATACATGATTGCCATTTATTCACTGCCATAGCATTTATTTTCTGAGTATGCCCCACTGAATTTTGGTCATCACCACCCAGCGTATAGAGGCAAGAGCCGGTAATGCAGTCCCATACCTATTCTCCAGTACAGGAAGAGAAGCAATAAACAGTTTTATTCTCACATCAGTTGCAGGGATCGGCAAGGAACAAAATCTAGTCACCTTTAATAAATTAGAAGCACAAGACACTACACTTGCTCCTTTGACTGCAAACGCGATAGACTGGATCTGAGAACAATAAGTAGAACTAAGTAACAACACTAGTCAACATGGTAAAAAGTAAGCGTGAGCATGTCAAAAACTCTATGACCAAAGAAAAACGAAATCCAAAAATAAAACATTCTAATATAATGTGAAATTCAGATTGGTTAGCACTTGCACAACAAATACTCTTATCTGGTTGTATCACATCCACAAACCAGATATGCTTATGAAACATCAGTTTCTCTTTCTCATCATTGTATAGGGCACGTTTAGAAGTAATGTGACAAAGAATTGAGGATGAAGCACGAAATGCAAATATTACAAGTGAAAGGTTCAAGCATGTCATATAGTCACATGACCACCTTTATCATTATTTTCATGGGTGTGGTCTTAACTCGTGAGCTTTTGTCCAGATATAGGAAGGGATACTAATACTGTAATACAAGCAACAAAAGGAAGGGGATGAAAAGGTATGGATGCACTAGCTCAGAACATACAGAATCTGTAAATGCGTCAAGAAAACTTATTTGGCATACCTTGGTATTGTGGCCTCTAAGCTGAATTGCCCTTCCAGAAAGAAGATTGAAAAGCAGTAATTCATTGGGTGCCTGGATTCATGAAATATTAAATAAACCAAGAGAATAAAGGGCATGCCCAATAATCAAAGCTCCCACACAAGCTAAAATATTCAAATAATTTAAAATAAGGATAACAAAATATGATTAAGAACAAAGATAAAGGTACTTAAGACAGTAAAATAGTGATTTTTACAGTAGTAAGAAATACAAGGTATTCTTGAATAGTAAATGAAACATGAATCATAAATGGCACTGACCTCATTAGAGCTAGAAACAAGCTGAGGCAACCCTTCTGGATGAAATTTTACATCAAGAACTTTGCGGATACCTTGCTGAGGCAGAGCAACATTAAAAAAAATTAGATAGGAATGTATAGATATAAGTGGTGGAGCTTGGGCTGCAGCAAAGAGCAAAAGTCCAGAAAACATAGTAGAGTGAGCTCTAAATCTATAAAAGCTTTACTGGACCAGGTGGGACCATGGCCCACGTTGGCCTCAACGAAGCTCCACTCCTGATAGATACAACAACAAAATAAGACAACACAACCTTATTGTCCATGCAAATTGAGTAGGCTAGAGATGACAACCAAAATGAGCCACCAACAGGAAGGGAAAAAATATTAACATGCTCCAAGTTGAAGAATTTTTTAATGAAAAGCATTTAGAGAAATAGTTATGGTTTCCTGTTGGACCATCTGGTGTCATCACAATTCCTTCATTTTTTTGGAGTGATTTCTTTAGCTAGATTTCTGGTTCAAAGAGGATTTGGCTCTAATCTTTTTTTTTTCCCGAACACATAGGAGAGCTGTGTATCTTTGTATTAAGAAGAAAAGGGGGGCAAGAACCCTTACAACACACACCCTCGTTTGTTAGACTACATGCCCTTTCCCTACAACAAACATGACCACGACAAGATTTGGCTCTAATCTTGCATACTCCAAGGTTATTGTTAGAACAATGGCTATTTGATAGGGGTCTCCCTGTTGTTCCATTAAAAAAGAAGTCATCTTCTTATGAGAGACTTATGGCCTTACTACATCAATGCATGTCAACAGTCAGGCTACCGGAACTTAAGGTCACTGTCAATACAGCAAACTAATAACCAGGGAGGTCACCACTCACCAGACTGTTTGACTGTTAGGATATATCCTTCTCATTTTTTCTGATTGACAAGCTAATCCACTTCAACACAGGAATCAAATTTAGTTTTGTTAATTTACAAGCAGAAACAAGCATGCACTTAATAAAAAAGATGTACACCAGAAGAGTGCTTAATATTTGCATAAAGAGAAGACAGTCAAAGCAAAGTGTTAGATATCAAAGGTTCCAACTTCCACAAAATTCCACTGGCAAATGCATAAGAGATCCTTACCCTGCCATGAGGCTGAGCAGAAGGAGCACTTGACGTATAAGCACATGAAGTTGGACACCAAGATAGGTAACTTTTTCTCACAACATGTACAGCAGGCCCTTCAAACTGGACTGCAGGTGAATTCCATCCTAATTGAAAATCAAGAATAACTCATTATGATTTTAGGAAAATGAAAAAGGTAGATACAACTTTGAAAGGAAAAAACAACTGAGCAATAATCATTTGAGAACAAAACTACAAACAAACGTGCCTTCAAGAAATGGAGTCCATCTTTCACAATTTCGTCCAGCATAACCTCCATAAGAAGCAGCTTGAGAGCAGCTGACACCAGTTTCACGTCCCTCAAGACAGAATAATATATTTTTCTTAATATCTCTATGTGAAACTAGTGGATTAGCATGTCCTTTCCAAATATTGAAATTTCTTGAACCATCACTATTTGAGCTAGGATTTGGTTCATTCTGCAAGGTTTCTGCATGGTGTCACCACGCTTGGTCAGTTGATACAGATCTGTTCAAACATATTTGCTATTTTATAATAGCTTAAAAAGCAAAATTTCATTAAAAACAGATAATTATGGGTCAACATATTCATTTTAAATAAAAAATAAGTTGTTACACACCAGCATTCCTGGGTGCATCTCGGCATGCTAAGGACATTGTAGCTTAATCTTCACAGTAAAATCAAAATATCCAAGATTAACAGGAATCATGACGCCCTTACAAAATCTATGTAATTTTGTGGTGTGAGCAGTCAAACTTGCAAAAAAAAAGACTAACATAAACGATGGTTTTCATTTATGGCATGGAGATGATGTTAGTAGCTTGTACTTCCAAACCACTGTTTATTAAATATTCTTTAATAAAATTTAGCAGATAGCTGAAATGGTACTGCTCAAAGGCTTGTATATAAAAAATTAACTTTTTTTGAATAAAAATAGCACATATGAGCCAAACAAAAAAGAATGTATCTAAGATCAACTGGTAGAAGCTATAATAAGATAATTAATCCTATATTAGGTAAAATGACAAACCTGCTGATGCTTCACTATAACACCATGCAGGTGTAACGATGATAGGGTTTCTCTTCCTCTTATGCCCAGGTTCACTTTCTGGGGCTCCTCCGGGAACTGACTGTTCATTGATAAACACCTTCTTTGCCTCAGAAGGGGCTGAAGCATTTGCAGTAGTGGCCCCTTGTATACTCATGTTAGTCTCTTGATTTGGAAATTCCACATATGATGAATCTGTTTCTTTAATGGCAACAGTACGACATTGCTTTAACAGCACAGCAGTCAATTGGTTCTGCAAGTCTGTCAAACTGAAACACATCAAAGAACATGTTAGCACAAACTATTCACATGTTAACAGATAAATAGTTCAGAGTTAACCACATACAGTTCATATTTGAGCAAAGCTTCTTTCTTTTTGGACAATGACGTCTTCTTATCCCTAAGAGTTGCATTTCCACCTTGAAATCTGCCTGCAGTACCGCTTTGTTGTCTGCATGCACTGACACTGGGAAATCTACCTGCAATTTTCCAGAATGTTATCTTACTTTTCATGGAGACACTAGTAGCACTTCAATAAAATATGTAAATATATAGAAAGTAAACCTGTCACTGGAGGTATAGTTTTCTGTAATGGCACAATGTTTTCTTCTGGAGTGACTGCAGCAGCAATTGGTCGAACTGTGGCTCTAGCCGCAGAAAGTTGCAGAGTCTGCAAATCAAGAATCAGCTTTTGTAATCCCTTGCCAGGATGTCAAGCGCCAGTTTAGCACTCATAGAAGTTAGGGAGAAAAAAGATTTCTTGCAGCAACCGTCAAATGGTCAAGAAAACCATGTGTACCTTTGGCAACTTTCCCTTCTTTTTTAGCATCTTCAAGTGCATCCTCTGGGTGTAGTGAATCAAATGATATTTTGAATGTTTCTCAACCAACCTGTCCATTATCTTTGGGTTCGATGTAAGCCAGTCTGATATCTGCTGTGTAGCAACTAGTGAGTCCAGCTCAAGAGATTCCAACCACTGGTACACAGGCTTCCATAGATCAGTTCGCTGGAACCTGTACGGGAATGCGCTCTGGTCTGCATCTAAAACCTGACAAAGAATAAAATAGAAGTGACCCTGACACAGTTTTGTTGATCAATATGGCCTTATGGGGCTAGAATACAAGCATGTATCAAAGATATATGGAGAAGGATAGTTCCATCAGTGCTATCATGCAGAAGCAGCAGACTACATGAAGTACAGAGCTCTGAATTGAACTAACTGACACAGTAGTTCAAACATTCATAGAAACTCTGATAATCAGGAAACTAAACTAGCCATTATACGACTCCAAATTCCGAGGGCTGGAAAGTGTTGGCCTTTCTGTTACAAACCCATAGTAACTATTCAATTCTCTACGACTGAGCAAGAGAGTAACCCCAGATCAGTGGCCATTGGATTGATTCAGGAATAAACCACACCCCCAATCACCAGATTTGATGAAGAAGAAAAAAAACAGATAAACCACGCAAGCCGATTAATTTCATCAACTCGACAACCGGGGGAGTCACATAACAATTCACAAATAGTTGAGGTGTAGTTGGGTTACCTGGTCGCCACGGAGAGCGAGGAGGCGCTGGTGTAGCTGGGAGCGGGGAAGGGAGGGGAGCTCGGGGCGGTGCACGTCGATGTAGGCGTCGACCTCGGGCTCGGTGGGCGGCCGTCCGTCGGGGAAGGACTCTAGCCAGGCTCGCGCGGCGATCTCCCATGGGTGCGGCGGCCGCGTCGAAGAGGAGGAAGGCGGCGCGGCGGGGGTTTGCGGTTGCGGAGGGGTCGGGTTCGGGGGCGTGGCCGGGGCGGTCCCGCCGGGGCCGGGGCCGGGGGTTTGTGGGTGGAACGGCGCGGGGACGGGGAAGGGCAGCGGCGCGTCCGGCGGGAGCGCGCGGAGCGGGAGGATGGCCTGCGGCTCCGGCATTCGCGGCGGCGGCGGAGGTGCGGTGCCCTGGTGGGTTTTGGGGGGTTTGCTTGTGCTGTGTGCCTGTGTCTGTGTGCTTGGCAGCTCGAGAGAAATGTGAAATTGCAGCAGTTGCCTTTTTTATTTCGAGGTGAAATGGAAAGCGTAATAACTGCAAGCCAGGAAACTCTTCTCTGCATGCAATTTTGGGAATTTTGACAAACTCATAAATTAAGCTTTTATAAATATAGTACAATGCTGTTCACATCTTTAGTTATGTTTTCTTCAGGATATGTTTTTTTCATGATCTATTCGGTTCAAAGCTTTCAATCAAGACATTGCATTTGGCAAGCTGCAGTGCTGCACCACGCCAAAGAATCTAGTGGCACAAAACAAAGGCAAAGGACTAGGACAAGGATTGTACTCTCTTCTCTTAAAAATAGACACTGCGGTTCCATTCGAGATACAGCCATACAAGTAGAGGAACAATTTGAGCACACTACATACCAGTAGTTTTGCATTCTAAGAAATCGAAACGAACCAAAGAAGTTGAAAACATAGTGAACAAAATTGTGAGTTGTGACAGGTCATAAAGGCTATCTTGTTGTTTGATTCGTGAAGAAGTTATCCATAAAGGATTTGTAACTGACAGAGTTAGCCATTGATCGTCCACAGCTCTTCACTACCGCTTGCACTTTGCCTTCGCCATTTTCTTCCTTTTCTTCTTCTCGGCCTTTGGGATCTTGGTCTTGCGGGCCTCCCTCTTCTCTTCCTTCACTTTCTTCTTGTTTTCCTTCCGAGCGGCCTTCCTTTCCTCGGGTCCCATCTTGGGATCAATCTCGTGCCACGAATCATCTTCATCGGAACTCGAGCAAGATTCGCTATCATCTTCCTCAACCTCCACTATATTTTGTGCCGATTGTTCTTGCTCCTGCTCCTTTTCAAGGTTTGTGTTTTTAGTCCGCACAAATCCTAACAATGGCTGGTCATAAAGCTTATCTGCTGTTGGCTCATAGCCAGAGGATGTGCGTTGCATTATTGACAGGTTGACAATATCTGCCTCACATTGCTTCACGTAATCCAATGTCTATGCAAAGAAATCGATTACATTAGTATTACGCATGGTATTGGAAACAATAAAAGGAACAGAATAAAATATAGACAGTTGAAACTAGTGTGAGATATCTAGGAGAAATCATGCCCTATGGCCTATGCACTACAAGCCAAAACATAGTAAGTGCAAGTGAGCTCTATCAGCAGAATCTGCTATCAGGATATTAATGATTCAATGAAGCTATTAAGATGTTAATGATTGAATGAAGCTATTAAGATGTGTGAAGCAACATTCATGGCACTGCCAAGCCGATGACAATACTGAACTAATCTTACCTGCACCATGACTGTTGGAGTAATTTCATCATCGTTTGGAACTGCACCTCCATTTTCCAAAATCTTTTGCTGAGCCTGTGATTAAAATACAATATTGTTAATCAACCAGATTTGTGCCTGTAGCTTTTATAAAGTGATGGTTAAACGGAAGTGTGGCACACTCGGACAAAAATACCTTTTCCAGGTAATCATCGACATCTTCATCCGAAATGCTTTGGTCAATAACAAAATTAAATAAATCGGTTACTGTCATGACAGGAACACCTCGTTTTTTAAAGAAGTCCTGCGTAGTGTTGAACATGTCAGTCACAGGAATTTATGAGTATATATATGCGGTGATGGGTTCAACTTTCACTTACAGAAACATGCAAGCAATCTTCTTTCAGAAAGTCCAAAGCTGAAGGGTGATCTAGATCAACGGATTGCGAAACATCAATAATGTACAAGTGGCCCTGGACAACAGGTAGATCAGAATGGAGATAAGGAACAGTTGACCTGAAAAGTAAAATATGTTGGAAAAGGGTTTATTTAACAGGAGTTTAAGTGTTTAACTACCTCAAAATATAGAATGTTGTATTCACTCAAATCACCATGGACCAGTTTGCATTTTTGGTAGAGAGTCCGCATTGTTGTAATTATCTGAAAAGAAGGTCCAGTAAGGAATATGAGAAAACTGAAAATAATACATACAATGAATTCTAACAGTAAAATAAATCTAAACTGAAAAGAGATACTTTTATGCATACACATCAGCCACGGAATAAAAGGGATAGCTTGCTGCCAAGGATCATCTCTAAAATTTCTAAGATGGTTCTCATATGTGAGCAGTTCATCACATAAACTTTGCATGGCAGCTGGTGAAAAATATAAATTACCATTATAAACCGGTCTGAACTACAACTGCCCCCAAACAAAGCTTTATTTACACAATCCCAACTATTTTCAAATCCATAAAAACAACGAAAACTACCACAACCCCATTTGTATTTGTGTACTCTACTACGATTTTCCTAACATGCACCAACAAATAATCAACAAGGGGCATGAATAAATCAGAAAATGATAAAGCACAAGGTTTTGTACCATCATCAATCCCAACTCCCAAACAACAGGCAACATTCAAGACTAATATTATGGTTAGTATGTTAAGGTAGAGGAAACAGTGTTTGGTTTACAAATTCGAACCATGCAAGTGGATTATCAATACTAAAGATAATGGTTCAGATCTTTCCTTAGGTTCCCTAACGTTACTAATTTGATAGAGATTTAATTTAACTATTGTGTAGCTCAAATTTGCAGCTCTCTTTTCGTCTTATGCTTTATATCAAAAGGATATGCACAAATGCAGCAAACTCCCTACAAGCTATCTTTGGTCACTGACCAGATATGCATGGCACACATCAATCCAACAACTACAAAGTTGCAACTGTGCTGTTTGACATATCGTGTACCTCAAAGTAACTTTCACGCAACTTGTCATCTGACAAAGCAGCGTCCTTGAGACGAGGAGCAGCCCAACCTCCTTTCCCTGATACCAAATCAACTTATTAGGATGCATTCAGCAATACAATTAGAAGTACTATTGTAATGCAAGCAAAGCTTAGCAAGTTACCAGCTTAAACATTATTAAGTAGACAAGTATCTGGTAGGCAAACACTAATATAAATTTTACCTATGAATTCCATCACCAATACATGAAGCCTCAGGAGTAACGGTACAGGGCATCGGATTCCAGCTGCCCTCACTCTGTAACAAGGGTAGCAAAGAAATGAATGGATCCAAATATCAGAACCAATGCCTGCCTATTTGTTTGACTAAGCAAGGGATATTCAATGAATTGATAAGTAAGGTCATTCTTTGCTTAAAAGAATCCTACCGTAGAAGATTTCTCATTTCCTTTTCGGCCCAGGTCTTAACCATTTTCCGAGGATTATGCTTGCAGTAACCATGTCTAAAACGGTAATCTCCTTGAACATATCGGTCTCTATCCCTGCAATAATAAAATAATACATTTTCTTACCATGCATACATTTTGAGATCAAATAATTTATACAAGTACCAAAAGGGCAAATAGCATAACCACATAATCAGCATTTCTGCAGTAGGTTTCAACAAATATCCATAGTTGGAAACAAATAATCATTGAAATGTAATCTTACTTAAAAACAAGGACAGAGGTTTTGTAGACTTTTATTGCAAGCTCCTGGCCATCCGTCTTTGTTGCATGATAGACATTTGCCTGCCCAAAGATAGGATTAATGTTGGCCATGTTAATAATTATACTCAATCAGGAAAATTGAGATCTGTAACTTGGTCAAGGAGGTGTGTATTCATTATGTTTCTAGGTACACAATAGAAGAAGTCATTCCAATGCGCACTGTAACTTAAAGCTACCTCTTTCCCTGTAGAAATGCAGCCATTTATGTTATTAAAGACACCACGGTTTAGCATCTTGAATAGAACCATGCGCGTTCTTGGGTCAATAGCCTGCATATATAAACAAAAAACATTCAGGGTTCAGAAATGATTACAACAACAACAACAACAACAAAGCCTTTAAGTCCCAAACAAGTTGGGGTAGGCTAGAGTTGAAACCCAGCAGAAGCAATCAAGGTTCAGGCACGTGAATAGCTGTTTTCCAAGCACTTCACTTGGAATAACCTTCATTAGATTTAGGTAAGCCAATTCATACACCCTTTTTTAAGACAAGGCAACTAAGGCATTTAAATGCGCTAAGCATCAAGAACAGCATAGTTAATACTCGTATAAAGGAAGAAACTTCTGCCACCCAATTGTAGGTATACATCAAGCCATGGATAGTAAAAACAAAGGCAGTAAGGTAAGGTCTGATGAAAATTTACAGGCCAATAATTAGAATACTCCAGCTAGAGATGTTTTTTATAATGCATCCGACCCTTGGGCCATTTGGATCAAATACCAGAGTGGTTTGGGTTTTTGGAAATGCTGCCAGCAAAGGTAGAACATGAGGTTAAATGAAGTAAAACAAATTCTTATCATGTACAGCATAAAACCAAACAAAACAGTTATACAATAAATTTCGATTTCTTCCATTGTTGCATAAGAAATACAGGAACCCGCTTCAAAAAAAATACAGGAACCAAGCAGCAGCCAGTCACTTAACAGGAAAGCTAGCTAGGTTGAAAAGGGTGGAGTGGTAGTGTGGTACAACAAAATTATGCAAGTGCATGAGAACAACTCAATTCCAGAAGGAAAAAAAAACACCACCTAGCTGAGAACATTTTACAAACCTGTTCCACTGTAGCACGATCAGCCTTCTCAGTGTTCCTTATTTTTCCAATCGCTGTGTCCCTTATGCTATCCCTGATTGCAGTCGTGACGGAATTTGACATCCCCACGTTCATCCTGCCTTCCCATTCCTGAATCATTCAGAACAAATCACAAGAAACAATTAACACAAACCACAGAAACACTCAACGTGTATGTCATGCATTCACGCAAATATCTCATGAGTTAAAGTGCTGTAATTGTGTTTACTATAAGCATCCTATCCTTTTAGACGTGCTCCAAACTGATACAGTATATACACAGAACCTAAACTTGGAACTGTTATATAGATCGTCGAGTCTCATGTCACCATAGGATTACCACCATATTTCAGTAGACCCAGTTCCTAAGTCCTAAATCTCTCAAAATTAAATGCTGTCGTAGGTCATAACAGCAAGCTACTTCAAACACGGAATGTAAAAGCTGTATACCTCCAAGGGGGTAGCACGAATGTGCGAGGCCAACTTCTGGGTGCGGTTAGAGAGCGGCTGGAGTGGGCGGGAGAGCACACCGCCGTGTGCGTTGGGCCTGCGCGCCGCAGCCCCGCCTCCGGAGGCCGAGAAGGCGCCGGAGGGCCGAGCTGAGCCGTCAGGGCCCTCCACGGCATCGAGCCAGTCCAGAGCTTCGCCGACCTCGTTGTCAGAAGCATCATCGAAGTCGGAGTCGGACCACTCCTCCTCAGCGTCGGACTTCACGAGGGCCATCGGAGTAGAGCTGGGAAGAATTGAGAGGAGGGCTTGTCGTGGCACGTTGCCGGCGGTGGCGGTGGCGGCGGTAGCGAAGAGAAGAGAGAACGGGCGAGAGGCAGGGGCAGGGGAAACCCTCACTTCGAGGCCTTCTTTTTTTTGAGAGGCCTCTAGTATCCTCATTTCTTTCGGGCCGCAGTTCTGGCCCAGGAGGTATGGCTATCGAGCCCAACTTCGGAAATGTATTGGGCCTAGAAGGTTTGGGTTTGTGCATGGGCTGGCTCTATTTCTTGGTGAGGTTACCTGGATGGAACGACATCCTCCTCCTTTCGCGACGAGGAGAAAGGAATCACCCCGTTTTCCTCCGGCCTTCGGAATCCGAGCTCGGACGGCAACGGCTTCCATGGCCGCCGCAGACCCCGCCACCGCGGCCTCCTCCTTCTCGCAGTTCTCCTTCCGCCGCGCCGTCTGCCCCTCCCCGCTCCGCGTCTGCTTCTCGCGGCCCCATCCGCCCGGTCGGCTCCGCGTCTCCTCCACCACCGTCGTTGCTCTCCACAAGCGCAACCCCAAGCGGCTCAAGTACGCCGCCGAGCGCCAGTTCTCGGTACTTTCTGCCTCAAGCGCGTGCTCTTCTTTCTTTGTTTGTTTTTTTTTACCTCTCCGCAGCAACACTCGCCTTTCGCGGGCTTTCTGGCGCTGACTGCTAAGAACGATCTCTTTGGTGGCTGTCTTTTGCGCGCACGAAGAGAGGGGATGCCGGGATGCTGCGGGTGGAGGTGGAGCCCTCCGGCGAGGACTTCTGGAAGCTCGACCCCGTTATCGACCTCATCAATCGCGGCGCCGTCGGGGTGATCCCTACTGACACCGTGTACGCTGATCAATGCTTCACTTGGGCCTTTTTAAGTTTTGTACTAAAATCACATACTCCAACCGCAACTGTTTGAGCATTTAGTACCAATTTCTATGCGATTGTTGCAAGCACATAAGTTCTGTAATAATGAAACAGCAATTTCAGTGTTTACATGTTACAACCGCTTCTATGCAAATGTTTTTGTATGTGCTTTGTTTTGAAGCAGCTTTGTTACACTGAATTTGAGCTTTGGGGGGAAAAAAGTACAGCAACGGAAATTGATAAGTTGCATATGTGCATTTGTCATATTTTTTGTATGGGTTTTGCTGAGTGTATTCCTATAGGCACGATTGTATGCTTAATCTTTTTATATTTTATATTTGTAACTATGCTTGGTTGACCACAAATAACATGGGGTCATACTTTTGACAGCTACTCCATCGTCTGTGACCTGAGTAACAATGAATCCATTGAGCGCCTTCGCAGGTAAATTCATTGCTTTGATCATTTTGGTCTGATAAGTGATCAAGTCCAATGTTTTCTCTCAATCTTAGGTATGAAACAAGCCATTTTAGCTCTAACTAGTACTATATGCTTGTTATCAATGCAGACTCAAAGGCATTAGAGACTCAAAGGCAAGATTATCTGGACTATAGAGTCAATTTGGGTCAACATGTTTCTGCAACGAAATATGACTTGCAGAGCATAGACACCATGTTCTTATACACACACTGAATTATGCAGCCTCTCAGCATCCTGTGTCGCTCATTACGTGATATCGATACCTACACAACAGGATTTCCTCGAGGCACCAACCAAGGGCAAGCTAACATTTTCCGTGCTGTCAAGCGTGCAATACCTGGCCCTGTAAGGATATCCTGTTACTCACCTTGTATTGTGGTCTGTTCATGATTAGTTCACGAGTAACTTGATTATTTGCATCTTGTGGACTTCTGCAGTACACAATTATTTTACCTGCAAGCAAGGAATTTCCTAAACAGTGCATAAAGCATGGTTCTTCCACAAGGTATGCAAAAAGGAGGCAGGTTGGCGTCCGAATTCCAGATGATCCCATCTGCCAGGCAATATTGCAAAATCTTGATGAACCTTTGATCTGCACAAGGTTTGTAGTACATCTCAACTCTTCCCTTACTTTTGCTTCCTGCTCCTGCTTGTGGCCAATTGGGATTGTAGAGTATAAGATCATAAGATCTGAAACTGAAAATGCAACACGGTTGTATATCTTCCATATTGCTGGATATTCATTTGATCAAACTGTTAGGAGTACTTGATTTTGTGCTTGCATATATGACCATTCTCAGTACTTCACTAATGTACGCCACATGGCTCCATGTATCTCTGTATTCTGGTGTAACTACATTAAAAAAAAAAGAGGGTATTTTACTTGAAATTATATAAGAATTTCGTGTACAGTTCATATGCTTCCTAAGCATGTAGAGGAATTGGTTATGATAAAAAAAAATAGATATCATGTTTTCACATTGCCGTTGGCAAGTTCCATAATGATTCTACATTTCCTTTATTTACAGTGTCAAATATCTATCGGAGGATGAATGGATACTTGATCCAGTAATCATCGCTGATCTTTATGAGCCACTGGTATCTTCTTCCATTTTAATATTGTGCCTGAAACTGTATTCTAATTTTTCATTCGTACAGCCATTATAGTTCATAGTTACACTTCTCTTAGAGCAAGTTAGGCTGTATCTGTACCGTTGTTATCTGCAGTTGCCTTATATGCAGTACAAAAACTGGTGATTGTTTAGTAAAGTATTATACTGAAAAAAAAAGGTTTCCCGTCTGACACCTATTTCTATCAGTTGCAGCATCACGCATTTATATTTTCAAACAATTGTTTGCCTGGAGAGTGCCAATCACTTTGGTTTATGGAAGTGTTGTAGAAAAAATATATTTCCAGTAGCTGCAGTTACTAAAAAATGTCATATTGATGTAGTTTTTATTTTTATATACCCATAAAATGGTAACAGATCACTGCAAGCAGCTAGTTAAACCATCAAGTGTTTTGATGTCCAGCTGTATCCCAAATCGTTCTTAAAAGAGTATGTCTGAAAGATGCTTGGCAAGCATCATATGTTTCAATGTTTCAAATTTCCAGGGGCTTGATTTTATTGTTGATGGTGGACCTAGAATTGCTGATCCTTCTACCGTGGTGGATATGATGGAAACAAACCCTACTATAATTCGTCAGGGAAAGGTAAGCATTTGATACCTCGGCCTTTTGATTGTGGATTCGTTAGTCCTTCTACTTGTTTTATTTAAAGTAAGCATTCTGTATCACCACCTTTTGCTCGTGCATTGTTGACCCCCATCAACGTATTATGTGTAACCCTGTTTGTTTTAAGTTGAATAAATATAGGGACTTGCCTTACTGTTTGTCTTAAAAAAACGAAATGCACTAGGACTTCAAAAAAGGTTTATGATATAGTGTTCCTCCGGGTACCTTTTTTCAGGGAAGCACAGTGCAGTGCTGAAAAAGTCTGGATGTTTTTTTTTAAGAAAGCATTTAGCATATTGAAGCATATGCATATGACCCATAATACTTTCTGTGTCACTCTTTTATGTATTTGATTCTAATGCGGGGATCCTATTAAGCAGTATGATCATGCAAACTCTTTTCTGTGCATACATTTGTTTGACACATTTTTTTTTCTCTTGCTATAGGGCCCAAAGCTGGATTGGATGGTAGCAAAAGATGAAGAGGAGGAGGCACAATCGATGTTTGCTTTGAAAGCAGCTTGAAATTTGCCTCGCCTCACCTGTATGGTCCTGGGTCCCCCAACCGAAGCGTCTTCTTTTGGCTGCATAGGATGTTAGCAGTAGCATACATCGAACACGGACCGCGTGCTGTAAATATGCAAGGCGATGTAACTGCGAGCTGGCAAGATTTGCCCAGTAGCGACATTTTGCTGGAGATCATGGAAAGTTTGCTGCTGGCTCTGTTTAACTTGTTGTCGTGTACACTTAACGCTGTTTCCATCCTGGAAGGTTCCGTATTTATACTAATTCCTCCTGCTTCTGTGATGCTTAATTCGTGAAGCATAACTTCACACGTGAAGAAATGATTAGATCAGTGCAGAAGATTTAGGATTCTGTAGGGTAAACCATTTTGGGGTAATAACTGTCAGTCTTGTTCACCTGAATACCGGATAAGGGATAATACAAGTGCAGTGCCTGTCAGTGTCAAACCAACGCGCCACCGCTGTCCCAGGAACTTGTAACGCGCATTGCAAGGGCCCCGTAGCTGGAGGCAGCACATCCATCGTCATTTTCTTCTTAGCCAGAGCTCTCGGGAGATCTCAGATCAGGCCCATACGGTTTCGGTGTGGACTGGATCATCCGGTGTGAGGTTAACAACTAGTTTTGTTTTTCGAATATCATATGATCCTGTATTGGAAAATTGGATGACCGAGGGGTATTTATGCCTATGGCTCCGTTCGCTTCGCTGAACTATTCCAGCTGATTTGTTGTGAGAGAAAAACATTGTTCCGACTGAAAAAACAAGCTGAAAAAGACGAATTATAAGAGAAGCGAACAGGACCTATATCACCCATCTCCTTCCCAGGGTGGTGAGTGACTCCCTATGACTTGCAAGCCTTCCTTGCAACTTGTGTGAGCTCTCCCAACCCCTTCTTTTTTAGATTGGGGATTTGTTTGGAACGTAGAAATTTCACTGACAAAATCATGTGTTCCAAACAGTCCCTGAGTTTTCCTTGAATGATCCGAGTGTTGGATACTTGGACCGGGTGATCTTGAGTGTTAGAGAACTACAAAAGGCACAATAATGTTTTTTAGGTAACGGAAAAGAGTTTTAGCTTCACACTTCTTTAGCGAAAAAGAATCTGTCCACATATGACAAGCACATCCAAAGAAAAAAAAAACAAGTTCTAAATCATTGATCCATCCGAAAGATAAAAGACCATTCATGTGATGCGAAGAACATCATGACTCTTCTTTCTACTCTCAAGAAGCGGACATGCCTCTATGATCTGCTCCTTATAGTCATACAAGTGTTGCAACTGAGTCTAGAATTATAGCCAATGCATTATATAGCTGGGCAAACCTTGAGTACTCGTGGGCACCGTCAAGCACCTCGTGACACATGCAGTTGTTACTCTTAGAGGTGAAACCTCTTAGATGGCTTGGTGTAACCCGGCAAGTGCCTGAACTTGCGTGAATTGCCATGGGATATTTGTATACGGGTTGGTGATTCTGAACTTCAAATAAACAAATCTTGATGTTCCCAATGTTTGTTTTCTTGTTGTGCTTTCTCGACAACATGGGTGTAGACATAAAATGGTGGTGGGACTAAACTTCGGGATAGAATCTTGTATATCGTGTGCTTGGTTCCTCTTAGTTTAACTCTTACCTTCCTTTCGAATTTGTTGTGAGCATTGACTTTTAAGGTTGAGGCCCATTTATTTTTTTATTGGATTTAAGTTGCACATGATTAACTAGTACAAAAGGATTTTCGGAGACGGCAAAAATTGATTTTTTAAGGCAGGAACTGCGTCCACCTCTCACACATGATCCAACTTCATATGGAAAAGTTATGAATTGATATAAAACTTCGGCTACAATTTTGATATAAAAGTTTATCTTCATCTGAGTTCATATGAAAAAGTTATGAATTGATTTTGTGATGCAACTATTTATAACGATGGGCCTATTAAGATACCCATCTCTGTTAATCGATTTTAGAGACAGACTCTTAGAATGGTCGCCTCTGTTAATTGGGATTTTCAGAGGCGGATATTCTAAGACGACTGCCTCTATAAATATCGATGATTGAAAGAGACAGCTACCCTTAGGATGCCCGCGGTCCGTCTCTATAAATGATTAACAGAGGCGGGCGTTTGCCTAGAGGCCGCCTGACCATTTATGTATGGAGGTAGTCTCAAGTAGATGTGCTCGTTTCTGTACGTAAATGCAAAGTATAAAAAGCACATGTAGAGTAATTGATAAATTTATCACAACCAGACAGAGATTATAGAATATCCTTAATGGATATTGGACATCGGTGTTAGGAATTGAGTAGAGAGAGTTAAGATAATAATTTTTTGATTGGTTGTGCACTCAATTTATCCACAAAACTTAGAAAATACTTATGTAGTGCAAGATTCTAGACGCGGATTGTTTGGGCAAGTGATATAAACATGTGTAGACGCTTGGGCATTATTATATTATATTTTTAATTTGGTTTGGTCATTTGGTGAACTTTTTCTGAACTTCTCTGGTTGTAAGGCTTTCGTGGAAAGCCATTATATATATTGCCGTTATGTTAGATCTAGGCATCTAGCAAGCTAGTTGCCTGCTGAACCATGTGATTGTTAGGTGCATGTTTAGCGCGCGCTTCTCTCTTCTTGGTTGATACGTAGCGTGCTCGTACGTTGCTATGAGACAACTAAACTTTTGTATTAAAACGCATGGATCGCACGATAAGATAACGATATTGTAAAATTAAATATCGATGTTAAAGTGATATTTAATCCAAAAAGCAAAGTTCGTGAAATTAACACAGTCATAGAGAGCGCTGCGTCGCAGGCTCACCTACTCTACTGTATAGACCTTTCCGTGCGTTGCAACGGGAACAAATAATGTCATGATAATTTGAGCATGAACGTGTTGTATTGTTACAAAAAACGATAATGCGGGCGTGATGTTCGGAATGTCAATATTACAATTTGAATTTTGTGCATGGCTAAAATTCTCATTGATGATTTACAGTCATCAAGGTATGCATTTATAGTATTGTTATTTGTGCATAAGTACATAAGTTCATATCACTATAACAAGATTAATTGATTCCTCAACCCTTTACTAGAAACACACAGATCACACGATAAGATAATAATATTGTGAAATTAAATACCGATATTAAAGTGACATTTAATCAAAAAGCAAGGTTCATGAAATTAACCATCACCGAGAGCGAGGCCTTTCCGTGCGTTGCAATGGGAACAAATAATGTCTTATATTTTGAGTTTAAAAGTGTGACATCCGAGGAAAAAAAATACTTAAGTGTGATATTTGCAACATTTTATTTGTAGCCGATCATTAATATTACATGGGTTTTTAGTTCACATGTACATCTATTTTAGTGCAAAAAAATCTTAGATGCACAAACAAAAATACACATCAATCTTCTTCTATTTGTATCATTCCATCTGCTTGTGGACTAGTTCAATTTTCTCTGAGCTTCTATCATGTACTCACGTTGTTTCACTCCTTCATGATAGTTTTGCCAGTCTACAAGAAATCAATATTAAAAAAACAAAACACACCCATCGACACTACCTGAAAAGAAAATTATCACATGACACATTATGCCCATGCTACGCTACGGCGGCTACATTAAAAATATTTCACAAATGACGGTAACCTCTAAAAGTTTGTAGCCAACCTTTTTTATTCCAATTGTTTTATTTTTCAACAATTACATTGCAACTCCACTTATCACAATACGACAAAACATTTGACGGGAAATATAGATTCTATAACCTCTAAATGCCAACCCAAGATATGTGCTTTAGAAGAACACACTAAATGCCTCATTGAGATTGAGCCCTGGACCTAGGTCCCACTTGATATACTCAGCAATCAGCACATGGGATTCTTCTGAATCACAAAGTTTAGGGTGATATCTATCTGAAAATTCCTAGGAAATGCAATCCAAATATTTTCAAGTTATTTTTTGCTTGGTATGAATTTTGTTGTCAGTACCAAACAACAGGGCAAATAAATGGGAGAACTAAACTATCAATTTTAGAACAATAATAGATGACTTAAAATATCTGGAGAATTATATTTGACATGAGGGAGACTAACGGATTTATTTAAACTGAAGAGTCTCTGATATAGCTTGGAATTAAACTCCTGAACCTTTCCTGACCAGCTGTATCCCTGCAAAAAAAAAACAAAACATGCATAAGGTCAACAGTCTGTAGATCTCAAAGGGGCATACAGGCTAAATCTCTCCTACCAGCTATCCCTCTCCCTGATTTATAAGGGTTCCCTCTCCCTGATTTATAAGGGTGCAGCAGCTGCAAATAGAAAACTGTGTTAGTGATGCTCTTCAAATAAAAAAGCGAAGAACTGAAAGAAACACAACAGAAATCGAAGTATCTGATATTTTGATTTTTTGAATTCCTTAACTCCAAACCAACTTCCATTAGATGTTAGATGGGAATAACCTGTTAAGCCCTTTCTTGAAGCTGCAACATGACGTACCAGCTACAAATTAACCAAAGAAACTATAAATCTGAACCATACAGTGTATAAAGGATTTTATCCATATCAGCTTCGCCAAAGGACAGCTCTTGAAGCAGGTCTACCTTCAGATTCGAAGTCTGATTCACTTTTTGCCTGTAAACATTGAGACAATCCTCCTCCAGTTGCAGTATCATCCTACCTTTCCATTTCATTCTGACCAATTTCTCCCCATATTTTAATGCACACAAAATATACAATAGCACAAAGGCACTATATTAGTGATCATCTGTTGAGTTCACATAGTGGACATGCCAAAATCCCATGATGACAGTGTGGGTGAGTGGAGTCAACCAGCCCAGGGTCGACCACACAGGTTGGGACAAAATCAAATGAGGGTATTTGAGATGGTAAATAGGCAATCACTTTAACCATATTTGAGCTCACAGCACAATGACCATACATGAACAGGAAGCTGAAGAAAATAGCAGGGCATGAAAATTAAAGCACATGACAGGCAATATTTAATCAAA